AGTATAATCATATATAAATTCATCATCATCATCTTCATCATCATAAATTCTATCATCCCTAACAGGTGTCTCGCCTGTAATTTCATATTTTAATAATCCCAATTTTTCATAATTTTTCAAGATATGAATCGGCGAATCTCCTAAACGATGGTGGTTATAATTACTATAAATTAGTAAGAGAGGTTTGAGTCCTAACTATGTCTCATTCAAAACAGATAATGAATCATCAGAAATACTAATAAAACTTTCAAATTGAATGCTTTTTAAATTTCTTGCATTTTTCATAAATTCAAATATATCATCTGCATTTATAGTTTTTCCATCAATTAATCTTAAATAGATTTCTCTCAAATAAATGCAGTTCTCAAATATTCTACCGATTTCATGTTTTAGATTGTAGTCATAAAAAGTTATTAAACTCTCTAATTTTTCACAATTTCGTCTAATTGATAAAAGAAGAGTCTTCAGATTCTTAATATCTTTTGAATACCCACCAATCTCTAAATATTTAAGCCCACTTCCATTTATTTCAATAAAATTTGAAATATTTAAGAACAAATTCCTATGAAAATCTTGAAAATCTATAACGTAAACTCTTGAAAGTTTGGAAATGAAGTTGACTTGATAAATTCAGGTATATCAATTTCATTCACTTTATAATTTTCTAAATGTAATGATACCAAATTTTGAAATCTCAATATTGATAAATCTATTTCAGTAAATCCATAACTATGATATTCAACTATCGATTTATCATGACTTAATATTGCATCCTTCAATATTAATTTCTCCAATTCACCTGATTTGGATAAATACTTATATGTATACACCTTTTTGACTCTATTTTGTACTTCAATTAGCTTTGCTAATTTACTGTTATCCTTATTGGCATTGTTGCAATGTAACCTAAATACTTGAATGTTAACACAGACTTTGAATAATTCTTTAAAGAAATTAGGACTATAATCATTAGTAGTTTCGAATTCTTTAAGGTTTAGAAAACAAACTTTAAAACTAGGATGCGTAATTACTAATTTGGCTTTAAGGAACGAAGTGTTAAGATATTCTATAGACGAATGATTCAAAATAAATCTTAGTAATCTATATTTTAAGGATTCATCCTTGTATTTAAGACACATCAACTGATAAAAAGATCTGGTCATCTTTAGTTGTAAAATGGTGGCAAATCTGACGTAATTAAATAAAGGAGGTTTTTCGAGCAAAATATAAAAGGGTAATTTGATATTTTTTGGGTTCACGAAGTCATTATCTTCTAATAACAAGCAATTGATTAATATCTTGACTCTATATATGGATTGAAATGGATTTCTCCATAGTTTTTAAATAAAAATTTTACACCATGATTTGTTAACTAAACAACATGAATAAAAGGTTTTATAATCGTTTCCAATCGATTTATATAATTTATTCACAAGTTCTATTGGAAAATTTTCAATCATTATTTTTTTTTCTTTAAAAAAAAAAAAAAATAAATAATTTTATTTTAATAAGTTACATTTTATTTTATTTTTTTGCGCTCTTTTTTTTTTTTAAAAAAAAAAAAATAATTAAAAAAAAATGGACTAAACCAAAGAAGAGCAAACAATGATTATTATTTGTTTTTGTTTACAATAAACCAACCATTTAAAGTTAATACAATGTTACTCAAAATTTATTTTTAAACAATGTATTACCCAAATAATTTCAATAAGATTTTTAAGTAATAATGAGTCATATGACCAAAGTCATTGAATAAACAGTTTAATTATAATTATAATCCTAAATAGATAATTATCAACTAGTAGGATTCTAAATATAATGATCGTTTTGATGGATGAAAGCAATGATTTTATAATTCATCAGACATTATTAACATTCAATTTGACAATATTATAGTTCTAATTATTTCACTGTTAAGATATTATATTATTTTTTTATTTGATCAATAAATTAATTAGTTCTTTGAAAATTACGTATAGCATATTTATGTTTTCCTTGAATAAAAT